CATGTGGAGACCGGATCCCATGTGGAGACTGGTTCCCACTCACTGGCTGAGCGCGGTGCAGGCGCAACACTGAAGGTTGCGATCCCGTTGCCGGTCCCCGGTACGGGCGCGACACCGAGTGTTGCAATCCTGTTACTGGTCAGTAAAAAAGACAAAAAAAAAAAAAAAAGTGAATTATAAATGATAATGTATGTTACAGATTAGATTACAATCAGCTCTTCTGATAATTCTTAATAATCTTTATGCCCTGTGCTTTCCTCTTTAATAATATGGAATAAAAACAATTGTTTAAAAAAGTAAAGAACAAATTTAACATAAAATATTATTCATATGGGCTCACATTAGCCTTAGCATTCCTGGACTTGGCCGTCTGTCGTTGGTGGTTTGTATGTCATTAGCCCCACTAGGCTGAGAGCAGGATCTATGTCTCAATATTTATCCCCTTCAACAGCCACAGGCCCAGCACAGAATGAGGCACAGTAGCCAGCTGTCCACAAACACATGTTAAATTAATTTGAACAAATAATCTGCAATGTCCTTGCTGTCATCCACCAGTATAATTTTATGTGCTTTCCAGGTTTGAGCAATTTTTCAGTGTTACTCATGTGTTTGTTTAATGAATATAAATTTTCAAAGTCATTTATAGACTTGTATACATTGAGAACACACAGTGATTAAATGCAGGGGCTCTGATATCAGCCCGCCTGGGTTTTATCCCAGTTCTGCTTCCTTGCTAGGTAACGTTGGACAAATTACTTCTCTAAACCTAAGTCTTTTCACATCTGTAAAATGTGGATAACAATAGAAGGTTTTCATAAGGAGATAATATATGTGAAGCGTTTAACACAATGCCAGGCATATGTAGGCACTCTGCATGTTACACACACATGCACAAACACACACAACTTATAGTAAATGGCTAAATGATTTTTTTAAATGTACCAAAACCTGTCCAAAACCCATTTTTTTTTTTGACCGGTAAGGAGATCGCAACCCTCGGCACGGTGTCATCTGCACCATGCTCAGCCAGTGAGTGCACCGGCCATCCCTATATAGGATCCGAACCTGCGGCCTCAGCGCTACCAGCTCCACACTCTGCCGGGTGAGCCACGGGGCCGGCCCAAAACCCATTTTTTAAATTTCCTATTAAAATATGTAAAAGTAGCCAGACAGATTATATACAAATTAAAACAATTTAAGCACATTCACAAATAAAAATTTTGAAAAGCTAGTTGTTAAAATTGCCGATCTGAGGCCAATGTTGGTTTGGATGAAATAATATGAGAACAGCTGAAATCTCTTGATAAAGAATGATGAAGTGACACTCACATTAACTATAATAAAATATTTTAAACCTACTTATATAATATAAAGTATTTTGCTTTGGTAACGTGTTTGTATATGAAAAATTATTTCTGTAATTGTAGCCCATGTCATAATTAAGTGATTTTTATTTTTGTGAATTCCTCTTTGTCATAAAAGTAAAGAAAGAGATGGAATGATTATGCCTACACTAGAAACTTTCACATATATATATTCTCTTTAACAGCTTGAAAGTATGGGTGAAAATGTTAAGTCTCACCATCAATTAAAAAACGCTGTGACTGTGGACAACAGTGTGGGCAATGACACTGTCTTTCTAGTCACATGGCAGACCAGTGATCCTCCTGAGATTGTATTATTTGATCCTAATGGAAGAAAATACTACACAAGTGATTTTATCACCAATCTAGCTTTTCGGACAGCTAGGCTTTGGATTCCAGGAACTGCTAAGGTAGGTGTTGTGAGCTTGTATAATGACAACATTTAGCCAAGGGTATGACTTTCAATTGAATCCCATGATTAAATGCATTGTGTAAAGAAAATTTTGTTATGATGTATCAAAACTTTAAATTTATGAAAGCATTTTTTACATATTAAAAACTTAAGAGTAACAACTAAGATATGTTCAAAACTTTAAATATTGGATACCAAAGGCTTCTCACTTCAACGGCGGAAATTAGGATTTCTGCTAGTAATATAATTTTTTTTCTAGCCTACCTCTTTCTTTATGTAATCTGTATAGACATACTTGTCTATATGCTTAAGAAAAAAAATCTCTACCTAGAATTTATAATATGAATTACATATGTTTTTGAGCACCTACTATGTGCTGGGTCTTGTTATAGGTACTTTACAATAAAATGCCATGATAGCAGTAAGCACAGGAGTATTAGTCCATCTCTGTTGCTTATAACAAAATACCTGAAACTGGGTGATTTATAAAGAAATAAAAAATTATTTCTTATACTTCCAGAGGCTGGGAAATCCAAAGTCTGGGGAAGGGCTGGCCAGCTGGCTCAGTTGGATAGAGCATGGTGTTATAATAACAAGGTCAAAAGTCCAGGGAACACATCTGGTGAGGAGGGCCTTGCTGTGGGTGGTGGCTCTACAGCAGTGTGGGGTATCACATGCCAAAATGGCTGAGCAAGAGAGAGAGTGAAGCTTCTCACTGACTCTCCTTATAAAACCATCAGAACCACACCCACTACTCCAAGAATGGGTTAATCCATTTACAAAGGTACAGTCCTGTATTATTCCGTTTTGTGTTGCTATAACAGAAATACCTGAGACTGGGTAATTTATAAGGAAAAGAGGTTTATTTGGCTTACAATTCTGGGACAGCTGCATCTGGCTGTACAAGCAGATCACATGGCGAGAGGAAGCAAGAGAGAGAGAGAGAAGGTGCCAGGGTCTTTTTAAGCAACGAGCTCTCATGGGAACTAAAAGAGCGAGAACTCACTCATTAATCCCCCCTCCCCCAGGGAGAGCATTAATCCATTCATGAGGGATCCGCCCCCATGACTCGATCAGTTTCCAACCGTGCCACATTGGAGATCAAATCTCCACATGAGTTATGGAGGGGACAACACATCCAAATTCCATCAAGTCCTTACGATCTAATCACCTCATAAGTGCCCCACATTTCAATTACCATAATAGGACTTCCTATGCTCATAACACTGTCACAGTGGGGATCACTTTTCCAATGCATGAAACTTTGGGGGAATCATTCAACCCATGTCAGCAGGGTACAATCAGAGCATACAGGAAGGCTGGAGAGAGAATGCTTCTTGGAAGTGAAGATATCCAAAGAAAATGAGGGGGATAAGGGCCAGAGGAAACAGCACATAGAAAGGCTCAGAAACAAAGAACAGGGCTGTTCATAGAACTGTGAGCCGTTCAGTATGGACGAGCTACAGAGTAGCATGTACGGTGGGGATAAAGGCAAAGAAAGAAGAGGGGAGTGATGAGGCTGGAGACAAGAGCCATGACAGCAAGGGCTTTGCAGAACAGTAAAGGGTGTGGGGGCTTGAATCCTGAAAGTGAAAGGGAACCACTAAAGGTTCTAAGCAGACTTGTAAATCGATCGGATCCACACTTGTTTTGTCTGAATTCACTGCCCACGTCACTGCTGACAGCCTCTTACCTGGCATCCCTCCCATCCATTCTTCACCTCTCTCCCAGTGACCCTTCCGAAGCACAAATCTTATCAACTGTCTCCTGTCCAAAACTCTTTGTGGTTTCAGAATGAAATCCAAATGGTTACCGTTACAGACTAGGCCCTTCACGTTTTGTTTTCTGCCCAAGCTTATCTCTTCACCCTTTTCTCAAACACCCTGCGCTCTGTTCCTACTGAACTTCTCTCCAAACCACCATGTTCTTTTCACACCTGTGCACAAGGGACACTTTAACACTTTACCTACTTGCTCTTTCTGCCTGACTTCTTAGTCTGTATTGGGTGCCCTGTGTCAGAACTCTTACTATACCCAAGGAGAACTTTTTGATGTGGAGGTTCCTGCCATGCTGCTGTTACTAATGTTATGATTCCATAACAAGAATAGGTAGATGATCTTGATGCTTGAATTGTGACTACAGTGGAAAATTGGTCAAAGCACATGAATCGCAGTGAAGAAGCCTGGATAGGGGGTGGTGGCCTCTTACCTCTGCACCCCGGGTCACACCTTAACCCGTTGTTTCTCTCTGTTCTTCCCCTGCTCTGCTGTGCTCCACCTGTTACTTCTGGGGTTTAATAATGAGTAACATCAGGAGTCAAGAAAAAAGCAATAAATGGATAGCTTAATTAAAAGAACAAGTTTTTCCTCCATTGTAGCTTTAGCCTTTTTCTTTCAAGACTTTCTTTTGAAGGTTTCTCCCAGGCAGTTAAATAGACAATGTTGTGAGGTGCTTGCACAGTGAAATCCAAGTCCAACGTTGGTTTTATAGCTCTTTTAATAGTTGACAGCTCTTTTTGATGTTACAGCACTATATTGCTTGCAAGCAAGGAGAGCACTGGGAGAAAAGACTCCTAGATCAGTGTCTCCCAGAACAAAGGAAAAGACCCCCTTATACAGCCTAAATTCCCACCCTTTTCCCTCCCAGGTTCCCATTCAGGGCCTCTTTTGTAAATGAGGGATGCTGTCCTGCTAATTTGGATTGGCTGATTGTGGGACACAG